CGGGCACGCAGAGGAACCGCACGGTGTGCTACGACCTGAGCGCGCCCGACCGCTCGGCCGCCTACTTCCCCTACGGCATCACCCTCACCTTCACCGGCTTCCTGCTGCCCTTCGCGGCCATCCTGGCCTGCTACTGCAGCATGGCGCGCATCCTGTGCCAGAAGGACGAGCTCATCGGCCTGGCCGTGCACAAGAGGAAGGACAAGGCCGTGCGCATGGTCATCATCGTGGTCATCGTCTTCTCCATCAGCTTCTTGCCCTTCCACCTGACCAAGACCATCTACCTGATTGTGCGCTCCTCACCCGCGCTGCCCTGTCCGGCCCTGCAGGCCTTCGCCATCGCCTACAAGTGCACGCGGCCCTTCGCCAGCATGAACAGCGTGCTCGACCCCATCCTCTTCTACTTCACACAGCGCAAGTTCCGCGAGAGCACGCGCTACCTCCTCGACAAGGTGAGCTCCAAGTGGCGCCACGACCACTGCGTCACCTACGGCTCCTAGGCGAGGACGAGGCCCCCTCGGTGCCACCAAGGCACAGAGCAATTTCGGCTCTGAGCTCCACGGAGCAGAGATGGCTTCACCGGGGACATGCTGGAGGGGAGGAGGATGGCATCTCCCAAGCTGTCAGCCTGGTGGTGGATCCGTGGTGATCCACCTCCATCCAGTGGTGCAGTGTTAACCCCATCACAGATCCAGTGTTCTCCCCCTTGCTCGCCTGGAGCAGCTCAGCACCTTGGTGGTCAAGCCATCAACGCAATAAAAATCCACTGGGACCGTGGAGAGCAAGATGGAGCTCCATGGGGGACACATCCCTGGCTCAGCTGCTGGTGGATGGTTTGTCCCCATACTCAATTAAAAATTCCCTGATGGGGACAGCATGAAGGCTGGGGACGGTTTGGTTCAGCCCAGCTCAAGATCAGTGTCACAGATGGTTTTAGTGAAACATCCTTTTTGGGACATCCCTATCCCCCAGTGCCCGGAATGAGGCCACACCAGCTAGTGATACAAGATCACTGGTGCTGCAAAATGTTGGAGGAGCACCCTGGATGGACTGGGAACAGGAAAAGGAGACATCAGGGCAACTGGAACACTCATGCTGGATTTCCCACTGAAGCCATGACCATGGGCTGGGTTAGGCAGCATTGTCACCTGCCTGAGGACCTCCATAAATCCAGCTCCCTGCTTAGCTCAGCATCCCAAGTCTGGCCCACGCTGGTGCCAGTGGTGCCCTGCTGTCACCTCCTAACAGGGTCCGCCACAATCACAGCCAGCACACCTGGACACAACACCCAGAGTTGGAAAATGCATTCCACAGAGAGCCACTCAATGTTCTTACCATGTCACCATACATCCCACAGCTGGCTTGGCCTCTCCACAGGGCTGGGGCTTGAGCTTTTCTCCCCCAGCCTCTGTTGGGATGCTGCTCCCTCACAGCAAGGAGGGATTTGCAAGGTGGATGCAACACTCATTGCTCTGTGAGTCTTCTCTAATGTATAGGATGTATAGAATTAACTCCCTGCTCTCTCTCAGATGGGTGTATACACCCACTGTGTGTACAGACATAGAATATATCCCAGCAGAGGGAGGTTTGTGGCCCAGCCCAGGCTCTGCAGTGCAGAAAATCTCTGCCTGAACACGGTATATGTATCTATACAGTGTGTATATATATATATATATAAAAATATATATGTGGATGACAGCATTTTTCATGTCTGCTTATAATAATCACACCTAAGTGGATTGAAGTGATTTGATTCCAATCTCCAGGGCTGAGCACCCCTCCAGCTTGGCTGCCTGCAGCTGGCCAAGGGTGCAGCTCCATCCTGACTGCTCCCTGCAGGTACACAGCGTCTCCTCAGGCACCTGGGCACCCAAGCACCCAGGGCTGGCAGTCCCAGGGTGTCTCCTTGCTGTCATGAGGATGAGGAGGGTGTCCAGAGGGGTCACAGGCTCTTGGATGATGCTCAGAGAACCCAGCATCACGGCTGGGCTGCAGCATTAGCTCAAACCACCTGGTTTTGCAGGAGCTGTGTCCCTGTCCTGACAGTGACAGTGACTCTGGGCTGGGGCACAGAATGTGATGGAGGAGGCAAAGGCAGCCCCGTGCTTTCCCTCGGCTGGAGCTCATCCTCGCCAAAATCCCCTTTGATGCATTTTTGGGGTCCTGCAATGGAAGGGCAAAGTGCTGGGGGGCTGTGAGAGCGGTGGCTGCAGGGACAACCCCAGCCTGATGTCCCCATCTCTTCCCAGAGCGGAGGTGACGGAGTGGGAGGGCCGGGCCACGCCATCCGGACCCAGGAGAGGGCGCAAAATATTTAGATTTGGAGAAATCCGGCCGATCTGTGGGTGTCCACCTGGCTCCAGGGAGGGAGGAGTCCTGCAGCACCAGAGTGCCCAGAGCATGGATAGGACCCATGGGAGGAGGTGGCAGAAAATATCGATCCACAATAAAGCTCTGAGGGGGGGGGGAAATATTTAATCAGCTTCCAAAAAGTCTGGTGGTGGCTGCAAGGGCTGCATGGACTCGGGTGGTCACATCCAACAGGCTCAGGATGGTGTTCCTGATATAGGAATCACTAATTTGGAATGTTTTTGAAGAGCTCTCTTTGGATCTCACCTTGCCCTGCCCTGTCAGCAGCTCCCTTGGCACCACCAGGCCTGGAAGTGATGGGAATAAAGGGATGCCTTAGAAATGGAGTGAACACCTCAACAAATCTCCTTTGCTTGCCAGATGCTCAAAGGCAGCAGCTGAGGAGCAGCTCCCACAGAACCAAGCGGAGATGAAATACATAATTTCATCATTTTAATAAAATCTTCCCAAAATGCCACCTGGGGGGGACATCGTGGGGACAGGAGACACCCAGGCCTGGGGGAAGCAGGGAGGAGGGTGGGAAGGGAGAGCCAGGGAAGGAAGACTTGCTGGGGTGGAGCACCTCACAGCATCGCTGCAGGCGCTTTTTAGGCCCCGAAAAATTCATTTACAGAAGGTGTTGGATTTTTTTTTCTCCCCTTTGTTGTGCCTTTGGGTCAGAGCCAGAAATATCTTCTACATGGCCAGAACACCTCTGCAGCCCCATCCATGTCTCCAAGGCCACAGCTCACCCACCAGCCGTCCCAGCCACCTTCATTTGTCACATCCCCAGCGATAAATCTGCTGTCTTGGGGGGGAAAAAAGGGTTATAGGCTTCAAATAGCAAGCGCTGACAAGCGCTGCTAAAACCCACGAGAAAGTCTGTTCACGGGGCAGTGCTTCCCTGCAGAGCTGTGCAAGATGGGAACAAGGTGTTCTCTCCTCCCTGAGAGGAGCAGCAAAGCAGGGTCTGGAGGAATCTGCTGCAATGGGAAGAATCTTTCACTGGCACTCACATTTTTGGCTATTTGTCCTGTTTCCCTCTAAAAGGAAAAAGGTGGGAAGGGATGGAGGGAATCACAGAGTGGTTTGGGTTGGGAGGGATCTAAAGACCACCTAATTCCAACACCTTGCCATGGGTAAGGACACATTCCACTATCCCATGTTAATCCAAGCCCTGTCCAGCCTGGCTTTGGACACTGCCAGGATCCAGAGGCAGCCACAGCTGCTCTGGGCACCCTGTGCCAGGGCCTCAGCACCCTCACAGGGAACAATTCCTTCCCAATATGCCGCTGAAATCTCCCCTATTTCAGTTTAAAGCTGTCCCCCCTCATCCTATCACTATGTGCCTATGTAAAAAGTTGCTCTCCCACTTTTTTATAAGCCACTTAATAAAAGGGAAGGGGGATGAAGGATGCTGGGGGATGTGGAAGAAAGGATGCAGGGGGTAAGGAAGGATGCGGGAGGGGGGTGAAAGATGCAGGGGGGTGCGAGGTGCTCCTGCTTAGCCCTGGAGTGAGAGGGCAGCTGTAAAGCCGCCTTCCTCTCCCTCCTCATCCTCTCCAAAGGAAAAAAAAAAAA